CTATCTACAAATGCAATTCCACACGCATGGGTTTGCGGGGGTAGCCGAGCTAATAAGAATCGGAACTGCCAAGTCGAAATTCGTTGATCACAAATCACAGTGCAGTAGAGTTTTTTTTGGTCGTAGCTACAGGGAGTGGTCAGTCAGTAAAAGCATAATACTTATAATAATCAAACTGCTGCGCTTATCACATCCACCTCCTCACTTCGTTCTTCCTCCTCTTTCGTCACATCTTTCCCACCGCTACCGCGTTACGGGAGTAGGAGACATCCCATGAGTCGTTGATCATAGAAAAAGGAAACAAAATCGGTAGGGACGGATTTAATTTTGATTAGCTCGCGGCGGCGATGACTATCTTAACCATAGCTTATTAAGTTTTGGTTAAATGATTATGTGATTGATCTCTCTAGAGATTTCCCGTCGATATCTGACTTGCAGCCTTCATTTCGCGGTTCCCAATGACACACATATTGTCGTTACGTCCCTCTATTCTCAGCGTGGAATCGAGTCTCTAGTCTAGGAATATTTTAGATCATGCGACACCATATAGAAAAGGCAATTTAATGGGGCCTGTATATACGTGTATTTCATTTCTTCTGACCAGGGCAAGTTCTTTCTAATATCATCGCGTAGACGACATGTTAGTCTCCCGGGTTTGGTAGGTAGACTAGAGAAAGAGAAAAGAGAAACATCGCGCGTCTCCCCTTCCTACAATTTTCAATGAAAATTATGTGTGTGAAGATCTCAGTAGCTATGTTTTGATATCAGGGATATTTAATCTCAAATTCCGACTACAAGTTTCAACTAATTGAAGTAAACATAGTTTATTTCTGATCCGCTAACTTAAAATAATATTGCCGGGTATTACGTAATGACCAACGCATGCGCGCCACAAAGATATTCTCGCTTGAAGACCATTTTTAAAGTTACAATGCCGCAGTCAAAAGAGAGTGAATCCTTACACTTCCGCCAACGGTGTTTCCAGTCCTCGAAACAGTTTTGCAAGTCTTTTCCGAATCGTTTCCGAAGTAGACTTTAACACCTTGTTCGGTTCAACTTCATTTCTTTAATGCAGAGCAGAAGACTTCCCCGCAGCAGTTCTTCAAGTCATAGGAATAGCTAAAAATCAGGCTGAGTCAACTTAAACGAATCTGTCGTTCGCGGGGTGATATGAGTTGAATTTCTGAAACATAAGCTGGCCAAGAGTTTTCTGCTTTACTTAAACCATATATAAGCAATTCTCAGATAATAGCAAAAAAAGTTAAACTTTGCTGCTAATTAAGGGCTCACTTTCCTTGAGAAACCTCATAGAGGGCAGCGTGCAGAACTTTTCATTTACATGGCCTGAATAATGTTCATGTCATATAGCTATTATGGACCGATTTGCATTGCAAAATAATAAAAATTAGATCTTCTTAATGTTCAGTAAAATGGTTGCATGTGATCATAATTCCATAGCATAAATTTAGTATCCCTGGATTCGAGCATTCAATGATTCTTGTTGAGAAGTTTTGTAAATTGCAAATTTTTTTCCTTTATAATGATTTTTATACGCATCTTCAAAGAATGATCAAGGACTAAGGTGGTAGCATAACAAGCACATGTAGGGTGATTGTCAAAAAATCCAGGAATTTATCAATTTTACGGATTTACTAAGTAATGATTTTACATGACTCCATGACAATTTGACAAATGACAGATTAACCCTGCAATCGATTTGCCTGACTTTTGCTTCTGGACCCAACTGGATGTCGCAAATTCAAAGCTCTACATTTTTGAAGCCAAAGCCAGATGAAGGAAGAATCTCTCTCTGTTTTACTTACGATTGTAAAAGGATCCGTGTACCGATTAAGATTTGACGGGAGTGATAGCAAAAAAAATCTGCCTTTGAATTTCATATTTTCCGCTTAGATTGTATTGATAAGTGTTTTGTTTCGATGAGCCTAGTCGGCGGAAAGGATATTTCGCGAAGATTAAACGTAATTTTAACAAAGATATTTTAACAATGTTTTAAAACTTTTATGAAAATGCACTACACAATTTTTTATTAATTTTTCTATTGAAAATTGTACGGTAGAGTCTTAGACCTAAGTTTTCGAATTGATTTTTCTGCGTAAATTAATAATAATAATAATAAATGCTTCTTTTTCTTCAATTTTACTAAAGATAGGGTCCCTTGAGTAACCGGTTTTTCATGATTTTCATGTAAGTCTTAGTTCAGCCAAACGGTTATTACAAAATAATTAAATCTAACGAGGGCGCAAAGCTTACATAACAAATGTTTCTTAAACATAGAAACGCTTATCGTAAATTTCCTTAGATACATCACTGGCGGTCTCTAAAATGGGCAAATTTTCGTTTATTCTGTTATGTCTTATGAAATTTCAATTTATAAAAAGTACACCGATCAATAACTATGTCTTTCCCGATTCGGTAAAATTTTGAAAATTATATCTGTCTGAGAATAGTGAACTGCAATTTATTTGCAAGCGTAACAGGTACGCGTAAATCCTATATGTTGTTAAGCATATGTATAAAAATCCACAAATTTTCTTTTATATCCATTACCGCCCATATTGCGAACAAATTTAATTAACGGTCTCGATGTATATCTGATCGTCAGGCCCGTTATTATTTGTATGTTACCTGCTGTTAAAAAACTCGCGTTTGAAAAACATTGAGTTTGAAAACTGGAGCTTGGCATATAGTCTGCTTGAAAATGTACACTATTTGAAAAGGGACGTCGTCTGTCCTCCATTCAGATATTTCTTCTGCCTACGCCATACTAATAGCGGCCGGGAAAAAAATGGTTTTGATAAAAGAGCTGACTGGCAAATAACAGGCTAAGATAAAAAATCGTATTTTCAGAGTGGCATAACTTTGGTAACACTACAGCGACTACGGTGTACTTCTTCGACAAGAATTAAAAGAAAAAAAATTGTGACATTTGTTCATTCAGTCGCTTGATTTTACTGGAAAAATGTTCAAAAATGATCAGTCCAAATAGGGCATGTATAGTTTAATATGAAGTTCCCTTTTTTGCCTTTCCCATGCCAATCACGTGATATGTACAAAGACTTTAATTTAAGCTCATAAAAATTTTTCTAATTGTTAACGCCCTTGACGACAATGTTTGGCTTATTTGAACCATTTTTGCACTAGGCTTTTGGATGGCTATAGCCGGGTGAAACATACATTTTTTTTTTCATTTGCAGAGCTATTTATCATATGTCGATAGGAAGGACAAGTTGGGCGTGTATCAGCTGAGTTTCATGTTTGCAAATATAGTTTCATCTCCATTATACTGATCTCTTATTATTCTCTCATTAACAAATCAGACATTTAAAGGTGCTGTGGTAGGCGAGAAGAAAATGTAAAAACGCAATAAATACAACGGTAAAAAATGTATTTCTAAATATAAGCATTTTTAACCCAAGTCCGTTCATAAAGCTGAAATGGAAATTTGGGAGGTTCCTGAGTCATTCAATGTACCTTAATCCGAACAAAATTTAATTAAATGTAGTACAGCACGTAACTATGACAAAGTCACATTTTTCTTCTTTTTACTATAGATCTCTCCGCTTCGCAAAATTAAAAATTACGCGGGCTTTCAAATCAATTGTCAGGCATCTTAAATGGAACAGAACAATTTGCGTAGATAGGACGACAAATGAAAGATCACTATTGATCGGCGGATACATATTTGCTCAGATAAAGGCAAATATTAACATTTTGATTTTTTTCATAAGGTTAATCTTTCGGTAAAAACGGAACTCAAATCGGGAATAATTTACCTGCAATGGTCTATCACGCCGTTCCAGATGTTCATAGTGCAAGTCGAAGAAGAATCGGCTTATTTTGTGTTTTTTTTTTTTTTGTTTTTGTTATTGTGCATTTGCTAAGTTTTTAAAGGCATTCGACAGGCAATTAATTAGAAAATTTATTTTTATATATGCAACGAGTGCCTTGATTTATTCAGTTCTTATCATGCACCTCATAATGAAATTTCGATAATAAAATGTAAAAATTTTAATTAACGTGTTTTTGTTTTTGATATGTATTCGATGCTTAATCGAAATCCATTAGTGATCGAAAAGTATTTCATGTTGGGTGTCGGTTGTTGTATCAGTAAATAATTTCATTGATGCTTGAAACGGCAAAAACTGCTGCTTTAGCAAATTAGGTGCAACCAATTAATGAAATACTACAGACAGAGACATAATTAATTCATTACGAGCAAAAATATGAAAAAGAAAAAAGTTTAGAACACACGCTCAAACTGAAACTGCCAAACGCCGAAATACCAAAGAAATATACCAAAGAAATAGAGGAGATGCTGTTCTCAATGCATATATGTGTTCGCAATCATCAGCAACGCGAAAAGAATTCAAAAAGCAAAGGTTTCCGAACTGCTTTTTCGTTTCGCAATGTAAATTGAAGATATATATATATATATTTTTATAAGGACATAAATATTTATTTTATTTCTTTTTTTTAATTTTTTTTTTTCTCATTTTGTAAAATTTAAGTAACATAAATACATATATAAACTTTGCGTGAATGTGTATGTACGTGTTTGTGTGTGTCTGTAGATATCGTTATCATTAAAATTAAAATTACAATTTTATATCATATGCGAAAAACCCCATAAGAATAGAAAGGAAATGTCTTTAATATGATTTAACAAAAAGGAAAAATATAATAATAATAATAATAATAATAATAGTAATAAAAATAATTAAAAATGATTTTTATTAAAACGCTTATTCTTTGTTGATCTGAGAGAAACCGTTTAATATTTTATGCACATCGTAGGCGTTAACAAATTGACTATGGATTCTGTTTAGTATATAATAACGTTTAAAAAGTTATATAATAAACAATCTATACTATATATATAGAGGTAGGGAAAGGGGCGTTATCAAAGAAAAAAAGAAACCATATGTATATATATATAATAATAAAAAATTTTATATATATTAAAAACAAATAATAATAAAAATAAAACTAAAAACAACTTAAAAAGATTTTAAGCACCAAATAAGCAAAAATCAATTTGTATTTCACTTCATTTTTGGTCCGAATGATATGCGGCGGGGAAACAATGTCTACATTAATTTCCCGACATATCTAAAAGAAAACGATGTAAATCGAGAAAAACTAAGTAAGGTAAAGAAAGGCGACAAAAAAGAACATATTTTTTACATAAAGATTTGTGTGCTGAGTTTAGGAAATCTTCATAATAAAGCGAGCGCCAGACAGATAAAAATGAGTACAATTACAAATATTTACGGTAGTTGCGTAAATCAGCGCTGTGATCATCACCTACCACCGGCAGTTCCCCCATAACACCCACTGCTGCAGCAGCACTTTCAAAGGACGGTGGTTCAGAGGTGAGACCAGGACTTGGAGGATCACAAACGTTCGCGTTTGATGCCTTTGTACGGCGTCTGCCTCGTGTACCAGTGCCTCGTGGACGACGTCCTGGCCCAGTCGGTATAGTAGGTGTGGCAGCACTATCTGCGTTTGTTAGACCGTCTACTGAATCAAAACCGGAAAGAGAACTGTCACCCAAAATAGGTGCAGACGTTCCGATCGCAGCTCCCCGTCCTCTTCCCGCACCACTTCGTCTCCTACCGGGCCCTGGTCCTTCACCTGGCGTAAGTGTCGATTTTTTGCCGGGTTTTCGTTTGCGTCGCTTTTTAGTTCCATAACGCGGATCATAATCATACTCATCATCGGCAGGCGATTTAGGCTCTTCCAGCGAATCATTATCGTTAATATCCATATCATCGTAAAACCAATCTTTCGGCAGGTCTTCTTTTAACGGTTGCTGTGGTTGCTGTTGGCTATCCTTGCTGTCTGAAGTGTCGCCACCGGCCGCTCCTAAAGAAGACGACTCTTCCATTAAGGCGCCATTAAAATCAGGATCATGTAATAGGCCGGCTGTAACAGTGGGCGAAGACGTACCAGCCACCGCCGCACTTACTGGAACATTACCAGCCAATAATGCTTCATGATCTTTACGTAAAGCTTGAAACGGACGATCTGGAAATCTAAACAAGAGTAAAAGGTTATCAATATTAGGCTCATTTTCTAAAAGAAAATAACAAAAGCAAATAGCACTAACCGATACATTTTACTCAAATATTGTCGTCTACTTTTACGCCATCTTGTCGCTGGATAAGTATAGATTTGACCTTGTCTAAAACCAGGCATACGCTGCCGTTTATCCATAAATAATTGGGAATGATTTTGCGCGACTCCAGTCTGCGGGTCTAGGAAAGGCAAACGCAAACGTCGCTCAATACATAAGCGCGTATTAAAATTGGCGCTATATTCAATAGTTTCACGGTATGAAGCATCCTTGAAAAAACTTTCTATTTTGGCCAGATTAGGAGCCGAGACTATTTGTATATCAACGGCAGAAGTCATTTTTGGTTTATTACTAATTTTCCTTAATTTTTCTAGATAATTAACCGAAGTTATTCTCACTTTTATGAGCGCATACTAGTGCTTTCGTAAAATAATTTTTTGATGCAAATAATCATCCGTTAATATATGTATATAACACTAGTCAAACTATAAATTTCTTATCTCTCCACTTTTCCAGCACTAAGGCATGCATATACGTACATATATAAGTTTTATTGCATGAACATGTCGTACATGTCGTACTCTATTTTGTTTTCACAATTTTTGGTTTCTTTTTTTGCAGTTTTATTGGTCGCCGTGTGTGCTAATAATTAAAATTCTCTCTCTCTTTTGCAGATTATCTTGCAAATTTATAATTATTTGTTTCTACTTATTGTAGCGTCTTTTACATTTTCTATACAGCAATGTGGTTACAATATTTCTTTTTGAATTTTCTTAAATAGAGGACAGAAATTTGCATATTAGAAAAAGGAAAATATTTTTTTTTCACTTTGACAGTTTGATGATGATTTCTTGTTGACATCCGTTGCAATAGATGTTGCTTAAGAGTTGCCAAAGTATATATTTGCGGAATATATAGATTGCAATTTTTTTATATTGTATATATGAGAAATATCAACATTTCCATTCAGCGTTTTTTTTAATGTATTGCTTCTTTTTTTTTTTTTACAGCCCATATAAATATGTCCTAACTGGATTTTCTAAAAGCGGATAATACACACGACGTAAATTTGATTTCACCTATTTCGTGAAATGATTTCATTTGAAAGCATAGTCGCCTTTTCATGTGTACGTTCTATGTGTAACGTTTATTTTATTATCTTTCAATTGTTTTCATCACAAAAAACTACAAGTTCCAATTTGTTGGTTTGCTTTTTACGAAAGTCCCTGTTATTGATGGTTTCTGAAAAATAGACCTACTAATCCAAACTCTCTACTATTGAACTTTGTGCCACGTTGTTACAATAAACTCATTTTAATCGTCAAGTATTTAAAGGTAGGCCTTTTGTGCATATAAGATTTAAAGTTTTTCATATAAAAACTTTTTTTTCATTAGAACCGTTATATGGGGCGGATGCTAAGAAATGGGCCCACATGGTCCAAATTCAATAAAATTAATTTTTATGTGAAGCAAGTTCTCATCCAGAAATACTGAAAGTTAGACTCTTTTACCATATAAAGATATACGGTAAGGCGCTCAAAAAATTGCCCTGTCCCATCTAAATTTTTCACACCAATTTAGAATGACGAAACACTTTTGTCCCAAAAACTGAAAATAACAATATTTTTTCATGTAACGACCTTTTAAAATGGCGTTATACGTTATACGGCGTCGGTACGATCCGAACCATATCCAAAAGCGTTCGACCTTAGATCAAAAAATGTCACTATATCAAATTTTATCAAAATATCTCAGATACTGCGACCTGTAGATTGAACATAAAGATATATACATCGACATCATAGGGACATCCAAGCTTAGGTTTCTATCAAGGCCTTCTGGGTGTTACGTACTTCCGCAGAAACTTAACATACTCTGTACCACAAGTGGTGTAGATTATAAAAAGAAAAATGCAGCAAATGCGATCAACTATTTCTTATGGGTGGAAAAGACTAAATTTTACTACGATATGGCGAAACTTAACCCATAACAATAATTTAGGCAAAAAAAATTAACACTACACAATTTGAACAGCCAACGCCTATTTTTGAATCCCATCCTATACAAGGATTTTTTAAGGCAAATATGTCTAAGTTTGAATATTTTGTAATGAAAATTGATCCGTAATAATAATATGATAATATGAAAAATTTGTTTCGACTGAGAAAATTGCTGTAACGATCTTCCATATAACCTTTCTTACGTAAACTGAATCTTGATCTTTGTAAAAAGTTCTAAATTTCAAATATTTCATGCGCGAAAATGGGTTTATAATAATAAATTGACGAAGAAATTAACCTTACCGAATCCAAATCACTTAGATCGATTTTTTGGATACCACCGCATATAATGATTCCCTGGAAATTGTAAACTCTTTTATGGTTAAAAGGTCTTATGCTTAAAAGGCCTAATTGTTAAAGTTTTAATGATGAAAATTGGTTTGTGAGAAGAATTTAACATAAAAATTAAGTGAATCAAATATGAATCACGTGGCTCAATTTTTTTGATCCCGTTTCATATAAGATATCTTATGAATAATAAGTCCTTCAGAAAAAAGTTTAATTTTTAATATTTTATGATGAAAATCGACCCATAGTAGCAATCAAATAAAAAAATTGCATTAGCGGATTTAAATCACGTAGCCCTATATTTTAGATCCTAGCATATATAGTAGTTATCATGAAAAGCAAGGCCGTTTATGAAGAGAGTCTAATTTCCAGTTTTTATCACGACAACTGAAAAGTATTAATATTTTTACGAAGTGAATTAAGTTTATGAAGTTTGGAACACATCATGTGATGTTTTATGCATCCTCCAATAAGCGGACTATGCCTTGTATTAAAATAGTGGATAATTTTTGTTGTATCATTACTAAAACGGGCGAAGTGGCGTAGGGTATCTATTAACCGATCTTGGTCGACTGCAATGGTCTTACGTGTTTTTTCTTTTATATATTTTGAAGGTATCTTTGAACCATCGCAACATAAGAACATGGCTTTTGCCAATTCGTCTTTAATATTCAGATGAGGGGTATCGGGGATCTCATAAAATAAAGTGTGTGTATATATCTTAGTCACTATAAAATTCGCCCCTTAAGTAAAATCACACTCGTTGTTGGATATCGAAAACATTTTGGAAATTTGGTTCTTGCACAAATCGAAGCCGTTCAAAGTCGCTTCACATTAATTCCCCTTTTGTTAACCAAAAAGTATAAACACAATTGATCTGCGGCGGAAGAGAAAAATGCACGATAATATCGTAAGGCACACGTTGAGTACAAAATTTTACTAAGGTTTGCTGACGGACATAGCCAGCTAGTCTTTGAAAAAAGCAGGTAAATGCTTCTTTCTTACTTAATTACTTACTTAATTAATAATAATTTCTTAGTTATTTTCGTATTACCTTACGTATCAAAATTCTACTCCTTGCTTTGAAACTCCAATCAAGAATGCCAGTCTGGCGTACATTAGAGCGGCTACCATTTCCCAAATTCTTCTGTACGTTATTAGGACTCTAAGACTGTAAGTAGTGCAAGTGGCATACTTTTCCTTTTTCCTCGCTACTGTTAGGTATTCGAAATACATCGTTTTATACATGAAATCATATTATTTTGTATGTTTATGCCAAAATTCAGATTGTTTGCATAATTGTCATCTTATATCCTACATTCTGTATCAATCTGTCCGTTCAGTTGAATTAATTCTTTTACGACATTACATTATTGTACATTATTCATGCATTCGGTAGTTGGCTGCATCTTTTTTAAAATCATGAAGAATGAAATTGTTTTTAGATTTATTTTTTAAAACAAAACGTATTTTCTTTTATTCGCTTGCCTGCTTTATAATTATGTTAAATATTATATATATATATATATATATATATAT